CTCCACAACTAGACTGAAGAACAAAAGGACAGCAACTTGTCTGTTCCCCTTCCCCAATTCCCCAGCACTGTTCCCATCCCCCAATTCCCCAATAAAAAAAATCTTTAAAAAAATGTATTTTTTGCCATATTGTTGCTTAAACCAAAATATAATAAAGAAGCATAGAGACTCACCTGTAAAATTGCTGAGTGTCCTGGAACTCTCATAACTCAAGTTATCTAGTTCTTCTTTCTCATTCTACAGAATCCAACTCTGTTGCCATGGCCAAAATATTTCATATTTGTGATGTTATCCTAACAGAACACATCCTGAAATTTCTAAAATTTACAAAAATCCTCTAACTTAGTACTATTTTCTGGGTACATGAACTCTTTCAATTGTTCCAAGTTCCATGTTAGCAATAATGTTAAAGATTTCCAAGATATAAAACTGTAATCTACATTTCTGGCAGTTTATGAAACATCAAAAATATAGATCTTTGTTCTGAAAAGCAGTGAAATAACTGTTAATAAGCACATTCACCACCAAATAATATGCAGCATGGGTGGAGCACAATATCCCATAATAAAAAAAAAAGTAACACAATAAAACTTTAATCTCAGAGTATTTGCTGGGAGTGGCTGAAGATAGTTTGAATGTTGCACATTTCCTCAGGTACATTAACGCTTTCAAGTACTATCACTGGGACTATTCATTCACAAGGAATTCATGGGTGCTTTCTCCTGGCACACTTATGATGCAGAAGGAAGGAGAAAAGTTTGGATACATTTATTTCTTCCTCTAGGTGACCTTTCAAAGCTGTCAACAAAAATATATCCTTTAGAAATGTGAAAAGAATCATGTTCTTCTTTTTTCCTTTCTTTAAATATATGAGAAAGACAAAAATATATGAGGAGAAACAAAATGAACAAACTGGCATGTTTTATGAAAGATTTATATACAGTATTCATTTTGCTAACATAAGGGTAAGTGTAGAATTATAAACGTTTTCATCATAAACAAAATTAGATTGTCAGATCATATGCTCATTACTTAAAATCCCACAAATAAAAATTTGTTCATGGAAAAATAGAGATATTTTGAATACTAAAGTCCTTTATTCAACAACACAGAAATTTCACATAAACAACTTTACTGGGCAAATTGAATGTGATTTTTTTTAAGGTTTTTTTACAGTTTTGTACATGCCCCATAAGTAATTTTCTTTAATAAATACACTGTTTTCCAAAACTGCTTTTTTATAATTGCACAAGCATACATACACCTTACACAAATATCTATTAGAAAATTTAATAGATAACTGCACAGTTCAGAATAGGAGAACACTGTGAAAGGAGTACATTTTGTGGCCCATGTTCCTGAAATATCTCTGACTTCCTTGCAATTGTGAAAATAGAATCCCTCCTAACATAGCTGTCTTTCATTCACTAGGAATACAGATCTCAGTGTGAAACTGCCAAATTTAATAAAAACAAAATCTGAAACATTTAGCTGTTAGATGAGAACCAACTGTTTGATATCACTGTGAATCTAACCATGATCAAAGACCCACTACAGCTTTCTCCTAACATATTTGACCCTGAATGGTGTGTTCATTTAACTGCTTTCGTCTTCTCATTATTTGATTACAGATACTATCAGCTTAAAGACTTTAAATGTTTTAGTATTAATTGTGCAACTTTGCATGCCAACGGCTCTGAATGAAAGAAAAGGAATATTCCTTTCTTTTAGTGATTGCTTAATATTAATTCATAGGAAGCCCACCATCCCTTGCTCCCTATCCATGTGTTTAGAAGGAGGAAGTTGGGTGTTGAGAATCAAGCAACCAGGAGGCATTTTTATATACTCTTACACTGGAGAAAGGCTCTTTTTGTTTTTTTCTCCCAAGGATGGATACATTTCTGTATATATTCCTCCACTTGGACACAAGCGGGTAGAATCCATCAGAAAGCCATTTTAGTCTAAAGGCCTGGAAAGAGAGATTTCCATTATGGTGTTCTTGTGATGTTACTTAGTTAGGGTGCTGAGTGACAGCTGACAAGGAAATTGGTGCACTATGCACCAACATCCCAAGGATTTTCCATGTTCTCCCCAAATGCTGACAGAATATGGTATCTCTTCATCTACACTTAAAGAAAGCAAGACTCCAGTGTATGTAGTCCTCTCTTGCAAAGTTTTACTTGGCTTATCTGATATGTAATTTTTTAAGTTGTATAGTTTGCATGAACTATATTCTGATGGGTATATTCTGAATTTTCTTGGTATTGAATATGAAACACACAGTGAGGAATTTTTAAAAGTTACATTTCAATGGTATTTTAGAATCATGAAAATGTAAACCTTTAAATCACCCCCTTAGGGTTATAATGATATGCTTTATAAGTTCTCAGTACATCGACTTAGAGGGAAGAGAAGTAGAGTGAGGTCGAAAGAGTAATCTCTTTCGTCAACATCATCAACGAGAACTTTATACGCACCCTACATTATATAAATAGAGTTTTCCCAAAAACATAAAAAGGGTGATGTAAAAGAACAATATCAAGAATAAAAACATATAAGAGAATTAAAGAAAAGCTTCACTTTTCCATTTTAATAATCAACAGATTTTTCTTTCATTAAAAAATTGAATTGACATGTAAAACACCACATTTTACAATATACAGATTCATAAGTTCTTTAAGAAAACCAACCAACAAAAACACATCAAGACATGCAACACTAGCATGTATTTTAGACTCTCAGTACATTGCTTTGAGATCTTTATATGTTATTGTATGCCCAATTTAGCCTGAATAGAAAGAAGTTTGTTTCACTTCTGTGATAACAATCATCATTTTCCAAAAAGCAAAGCAAGCTTACCATTCAAGTGTGAAAGTAAGTTTTCACTTACTTGTAATTAGTTAGCAAACTGGTTAAAAAATAAGTAAAATAAAAATGGAACTAGAAAGAACTCATATAGCTCTCATTGTTCCCACAGCAGAAATAGAAATTCTAACTAGAAACCCTAAAAGGAATATACAGCAAGTAGAAAGCTATCTCGAAATTAATATACAGCACGTTTTAGTTTGTGATTATTTAATTCTCTTCTCTAAACATGGATAGGTGTAACACATAATGAATTCTCCTCAAAAAGGCGATTTGATCATAACTAGACCTTGGGTTCGTACTCTAGGCAAGTCAACTCATGACACTTGTTTTCACATTGGCATTTGTAACTTATCCACCCCTCCCTCTAGAACTTGCATGAAGTGCCCTTTCCACGTTTTTAAAAATCTCCTCTGTCAAATGACTTCCCATTCAAACCTACAAGATTTCTAAGATTTTGCAGCCCTTTTCATCACCCTTTCTCTTCTCAAGTTACTTTTCTTTGCATGATCCATTTTGCTAACATTTTTCAAAAGGCTAATGGATGTCGTAGGCTAAAATAACTGGCTAGTGGATAAAGAACAAAAAATGACAGTAACATGGCAACTTTAATACTCTGTGTTTTTGCTAAACTCTGTTTTATTGCTGAAGCTGAAAATAGTCTCTATGATCTGACAAAAAAAATAAATAAACTTCTTAGGTATCGTGTCATCACAAATAATATTTGTCCTCCTGAGACAGCCTTAGGAACCCTGACTTGCCATAAGATAACCAAATCCTACATGAAAAGGTGGCCGAGGACCTAGGAAGCATTACTCCTTTGTGTTTGGGGGCTGTTTGTATTTATGGAATTCCACAGACTGGGGCCCTGCCTTCTCAGGAACAACAACATCATAGAGTGACAAGACTGGAAATGGAAGCAATGGAACATTCCACTGAGGGCCTAGAGGAAGGCCACAGGTACAACTGGGAGGCTATGAGAAAGGAAGATAAAAAGATTAAAATGCTTCACATTTATGAATTCTTTTTAACTTAAAAATATACCTAGCCATGCCTCAATGCAGGAGGCCTTGATGGGTTCAAATTTTAAAACAAACCTACCCCTTTCGTATCATACATGGAATTAAAACATTTGGATACATTTTATTAAGTGTTTATTTTTCCTACGAAAACATAAGGCAAAAAATAAACAAACAAAAAGAATACATACAGCCAATGCTGGGCTGGTCAAAATATGTCAGTCATGGATTTCTCCCCCTAAGATATGATATTTTATCCTGTATCCTAGAAAACACTGTTTAAATTTTTTTTTTTATACAACTGATTCTGCAGGTTCCAACTACTCTGAGTACTCCGCCGTACAGTGCAACCCAAGACAAGTCAACTACACTAAGTATTTGGGAGGTATACCCTTCTGTACAGCTCGTTTGTAAGCAATGCAAGTGCATAACCACTACTCTAATATAGTGCTCAAAAGATTAATTGAAACTTTCATCACATCTCCCCCTCTTATCACAATACAACTGAAGGTCATTGCTGGATGCATCATAATCTTTTCGTCTTGTAAAACTTGGCATCAAGTCTCTACAGAAAGATGCATGGCAAAATGTGCCACTGCTGTTGCTGCTTCTAGAAACAACTGGCAAAAAATATTTAAAGCTAAAATTTATTGCTCCAGATTTAACTCGCAGAACCATACTGTTGTGTACAAACTGTTAATCTCCATAGATGCTCAGACGTGATTGTCTCCTTGTGTCTAAACACACAAAATACAAGCTGCTATCTGTACAGTTTACAGTACTGAAACACATATATTTGAAAATGAAGTATAGATATGTACTTTGCAAAGATACATGATTTTACAGCAGGGGTTTACCTAAACTTATTTTTTTTACAGCCACTTTCAAAATAGACAACAACTTCACTAGTATAGCTAAATTACATCAAAGAAAGAATCAGTGTTTGAAAGTAAATAGACTGGCCAATTCCCCAAGCTCCCAGATTATTTTTATATGTCTTTTTTTCCTTTTCTTTTCTTTCCTTTTTTTTTTTTTTGAAGAAACCCCTATACATAAAATGAAAATAATATCTGGATATTTTCTTCAGTGGTGGACTAAGCAGTTTCTTAAAACAAGACATTAGTCTGCCCTTCACTTCCAAATGCCTTGAAAATAAGATCTACTACTGCTTTAAAAGAACCATCGGAATGCTTCAGCGCTGGGAACAGGTGTTCTCTATAAAAAAAGAGCAAGAAAACAAGTTAAGCTTTCTTTCCATGCCAATGTAAAATTAGATTTTTCTCCTTTACACTTCAGCAATATTTTTAGTCAGCAAAACACAACATAATGACTTGTATATTCCAACATTTAATAAAAATATAAAAGTTCAATCTTAGACCATTACAAAAATTAGAATATTGAATTTAACGTTAATTTCCTGAATATAATGATTAGAACACATTGGTCTACAAAATAGAAGCAACACAGCCTAGAACATGGCTAGAAATCAGAATAAAGGGGAAGGTTCAAACTATTAATTGTAGGAAGCCAGCAAGTGTACTTAACATCTGTATCTGCTACATACACGTGCATCCTATATAAGGCTGATGTTTAGAATTCAGTGAAGTAATTTCCATTTTCTGGAGAATTTCTTTTATGACAGGACTACAATAAATATTACATCAATGTTACTTCTATCACTTAACAACTACTAATGCGAAACATTCCTGCATATAATCTAATCAGAACAGTTTTGACAAAATATATCACTATTTTAAAGTAAGTCTGCATTTTCACCAAATTAATGTCATATATATGTAACAAACTTATACTAACCAATGATACTCAACGGAACATAACTATCTTTTTGTACCATAAAAGTACTATAGTTTTCCAAAGCAGTAATAAGCTAGCACCCAAATATGAGCAATTCTTTTAACAAAAAGCTTATAGCTACTATGAGTTTTCTTGTTAAACAGTAGCTAAGTATTGAATTTTCCTCTCTATATTAACATTACAGCAATTCATCATGCCACTTTTTTTTTATAAATCATATTCACATGAGTACATATTAAAGGTACATCAGAAAAAAGCTAAGAGTAAATTTTCCTATAGGGGCAAAGGAAAGAGAGTTGATTTTATTCCTTAGACCAGTCCAACAAGCCTGTGTAGACTATGACTGCTGAGGATAAATATTTTGGAATGTTACCAAAATATTGAATGGGTATAGAACACACACACACACACACCCCAACACCCAAACGCAAGCACACATTCGCACATACCTGGTAAAGAGTATAAGAGCACTTGAATTTCATATCTCAGAAAATACATAAAAATTCCACTATAAACACCCTTCACTAATTGGGGTTAGCTTATATTTACTTTCTCACACATGACTTATCTGGTTGACACAGTCTTACTTTAGTAATGCCATCTAAAAATAAAAGTCTATTAAATGATTAAGATGCCAATTGACATTTAAATGTATAAACTAACTCTTCTGGAAAGCAGAGCTATTTTTCACCATCTGCACTAAAAATATATATTTTTAAAAATTGTCCTTACAGTCAACACAATAAATGTCAAAATGAATGTGTTAAGAACAAACTAATGTTATCTAATCCAAGTTTGCATACATATATATACAAAGATATTTAACTTGTGAAGTATTTTCTGAAAGCCCAAACAAAAAGGTCCATTGTTACCACTAAAACCATTCTTATCTTCTATTTTGCTCCTGACTCCTCATGGTTTCATCTGTTTTTCTTTTTTCCAGCTCACTAGGCACACCTGGATCCCCATCATTTGTTTGTTTGAGAAAAAACTCTTTACTGCTTTCTAAAATCAATTTTTGAATGATAAATGAAATAATTACATATGCTTATCACATTTACTTAATCATTATTAAAGGAATTATATGAAATAATAAGAAACATAATATATTCATTCAATATTCATGCTTTTCTCTCTCTCTCTCTCTCTCTCTCTCTCTCTTTCTCTCTCTCTCTCACACACACACACATGTGTACACACACACACTCATATAAGCAGTAAATGAAAACTTAGAAGCTTATACCAGATGCTAACTTGCTGCCCAATGCCAACTAAGAATAAATTTTATATAAGTATGCATACTTATATAAATGTAGTCATTTTTAACAAGATAAGTTAGATCCAAGCATATTTATGCAATTATAGACTCACATATGAAAAATAAACATGTGCATATATATTCATGTATATTCACATTTACATGTATAGTTTATGACAGAGATGCCAACTTACTTTCAGATGCCAACTGGAAACAAGATTGTAAGTATATACTTATGTAATTTTGTATCCTGATAAACATATATGTTTATGAGAGATAAACAGAAAAAATATATGGAGCATATTTTTTAAATAAGATGAACTCCTTATGTCTTAAATATATTTTGAAGTCTCTTTTCCAACTCTTTGCTGTTCCTGTGTCTCTTTCCACTACTCAATGTCATTTGCAATATTTAGAAAAACCAAGCGTTACAAAATGCCACCTGAGATCTAAGGTCATTGTAGTAAGGAAAAAGATAAGCATCTTTCAATGCTTGTTAGTACAAAAATTAATTAAATAATGCAAATATGAGAAAAGAAAGAGCTGGTTTTCTATATGAAAAGGTTCTGCTACAAAATAGCTCTGTGGTGTTTACATGTTACTGTGCATACACTGAGACCGGTATGTATCTCCATATACGTATAAGGATGTGGACAATTCACTACTCCTGGGGAAGGAAGATAAGCAAGGAAGCATCTCTTAAAAATGACATCTCTCTTATATTAAGATCTTTGAGGTCATGGAGCCTAAAAAATGATTTTTAGGGTAATCACCTAAAATGTGTGAGAAAACTTAGGAAAACCACTGGCACATCAATTAGAACAAATTATCGAGGCATTCACCAGAAAGTTGAAGTGTCCCCTCTCTAACAGTTTTACTTCAGGGTTAAAAAAGTAACAAAGCTTGGTAGCGTCCCGTAGGCCAAACAAAATGCACGATGCATATCCAATCTCCTTCCATTTTCAGTGGGCTCACCGGAAATTTACTTTAGGCCTGGACTGAATTCAGGATGGATGAAGCAATACTGATTCTGCAGGTAAAATACTGGGTTCAATTACAGGGTTTTGATTAAGTCTGTACTAATTTGGGGACGTATCTTCTCAAATTTTGTCGTCTAATGAGAGCATCTTTGTAAGAGGACTTCTCTTTTAAATGGCACAGGAGCTCTGAGCACCAATGTGGGGGATTACACACCCTGACCCCTCTTCCTTTGGGTTGTATAAATTCAGGAGCCCCAGCTGGGGAATCACACTCTTGATGAGATTACAGTGACATTCTGGATCTCAGTGATGCTTGCAGGAAATCGTTATCCTGAGTGACAGGACAGCCAGATTCCCCCAGAAGAGAAGGGGGTGGGGATGAGAAGGATAGGATTGAGCTGATCAGCATTGTTTAAGGCAGCCCTCACTGCTCATGCCTGCACCAACGCTGACGAAGAGCAGTCTTGCTCTTAGGAGATGGGGAGAAATCTGCAACCCCAATTTTCCTTTGGGTATTGCTGTAAAGCATGGTGTTCCAGAGAAGTCATCCCTATATGAGCCAGATATGAAACAACTTTCAAGCTTAAAGGAATAGCTTCTGTTTCTCTCCTAAATAACTTTAACAAGCGAGCGTATTTTCCTTGACCAGAAGAGCACTATAATCCAAGCCCAAGTACATTTTACACTTACTTTTCAAAATATGAATACATATTACTATGTCTCTGGAAGAAATGCATTTCAGTTTGATTTTCATTAAACCAGCAATGAAGAAATAATTACACAACACAAAATAAATAAAAGATTCCCAAAAGCTGCCACCTTAAGAATTAAACCTAACTTTCTCTTTTTTGGTGCTTGCTAAGCAGTCACGTGGACTATGTGGCATCTTCAGGGTGATCAGGCTCTACCCACTCTTGTTAAAATATATCAGATCTGATAAAAACTCACCTCCTAAACACTGAAATGGACCATCTATAACCCTGTACATATGGAGTTACATGGGATTGGCAATTCATCTCTCTCTACAATATATAAAATATAGCAGTATTCAGGATGCAGTAAAACTAATTATTTTAAATGTGCTAGACATGAGTTTCCGAAGAGTAACTTAACGACAACTCAATGCTAAATTTTACTTCAGAATACATGTTATACATTGAGGTGATAATGATGACCTTAGCAAATTCTGTAACTAAAGTTAAATATCTGTCCAATATTTACTCATACACTTTCTAATCCAAAAATCTCAGTGATTTGCCTAAGCCTTCAGAACTCTACTGTGAAATGGGATGGCTCTAATGCAGTGATTTTCAAGCTGGAGTCAGTATTTTGGGGTACCATTATTCTTACACTAAACAAAAAACAATTTCCTCCACTCCCATTTATTATTAAAGAAACATTAAGTCATCCAATCATTTCCTGAATCCCACATAATGATGCTTTTTCCAACCAAATGCAAAGCAATTTCAAGCCTCTTATAAAGTCTTTTGAAATACTGTTTTCACCACTGTGAGAAGTCCCACTGTAAGTTTTTGGACTCCTGGGCACTGAAGTCCTTGAAATTGGAAACCCCCACTGAATTTGATTTACCTCTTCACACTAGAACTTGAAAAACTTAATGAACCACTGAATTTTGCAACAGAAAGTATGTGAATAAATATGACAAAAGATAATAGTAAGTCGCTAGTTTGCCTTTAGATACTTGATTATATTTTGTTTTGTCTTCTTTTTATACTTTTCAACCATTGGGGTGTTTTAGATGAACAAAAGGAAAAGGGTTCCTGATGGCAAAAAAAAAAAAAAAGTACTTTTTACCATGATTTGATTCACAAAGAATGCTAAAATATCAAGTTATATAGGTTAACTTTTTTACTGACAATATTTCAAAACTTATTAATGGAAAATTGAATTGTATATAAATGGAAATGGAAAATAGTATATAGACTATTATGAATGTGACTACACACACATGCACATAATACAAATCTTTGGATAATTAGTTAGTTTAAAATGACACCTAGCAAATGTTAGAGACACCCCAGAATGTTTTTAGCAGAAATATTTTTCTATATTCTATTTATAAATAACATTTTAAAAATCATAGTCCAGCAATTATAATAGAATTATTAGCAAGTAGAGGTACAGCATACGTAAGTCTGAGA